TGTTGGATCTGACCTACATTTTCATTGCCAAGTAACTATAAGACCTACCCGGACCAAAACTTGCATGTATGATGCATCTAGGAATGGACACTACTAGACTTGCTTCGGATGCTGGATCTGACATGCATATTCATTCCGAAGGAACTATAAGCCCTACTTGAACCAAACTTGCATATATGATGTATCTAGGGATGAACACTTCCAGACTTGCTTCGGATGCTGGATTTGACCTATATTTTCATTCCCAGGTAACTATAAGACCTACATGAACCAAACTTGCATGGATGATGTATCTAGGGATGGACACTACCAGACTTGTTTCGGATGCTGGATCTGACCTATAATTTCATTCCCAAGTAACTATAAGCCCTACCTGAACCAAACTTGCATTGATGATGTATCTAGGTATGGGCACTACCAGACTTGCTTCGGATGCTGGATCTGACCTATATTTTCCATACAAAAGACCAGGTTAAAGTTTTGGGAACAGATCAATCCCATTGAACTTAAACTCCTAAATCTGCAATATTTACAAAGTTATGAATATTTATTTACACTATACATGTTTTTCATGCTACAGGCATAGAAATGTGTATATATGCCATGTAAGGGGTTAAACACAACTTGTAAGAATGTTGTTTTTGGATAAATACTAAATATTAAGAAAATATGATGTGAGATTTGCATTACTTACATTGATAACATTCGTCGAGGTGAGCTTTGTAATCTTTGATTACCTATGTTTTTTTTTCAATTAATCAGCTACTTTAAGAGAACAGTCTCAAGTCACATCGTCCACTGGGGAGTGTTTGGACTCTTTGTGGTTATAGGACCCCAGTGGACCATAATTGCTAGTTCAACTCGGTTTCAGTATATATTTTGTATATTTATACTCTGCAACACTTTGTCTTAAAAAAAACAACATTATTCCATTATATGTATATACATATAAAAAATGTTACAATCGATAAAAAAACAGCGAATTTACTTATTACCTTTGTAATAACTTGACATAAATATGTAAACAATTGATGTATTCAACAACATTAAGATAATCATGTTTCTCTATTATTATTTTTGTACTGTTTATGTATTGTTGTTATTTATAAAAATCCTGAATAAAATCTTATTACACAAAAAAAAAATTAATGAATGTATGAAAGGATCATCTGTTCTGTTTCTTGTTAAGATATTCTGTTATTCTTAAGCTTTGCAATTATCATTAAAATAAATGAACTTTATACTTAAAAGTATTGCCTATTCATGAAACACACTTGTTCTCCGAGTTTGTTGAAATAAGTTTTTCTTGCCATACTTTAATCCACTAACTGAATCTTTTTTTTCAGATACTATAGTATGGATCTGTGAATAGTGTGCGGACTCTACCAGAAAAATTCTGTGCTTTTGTAAATTTTAAAACAAAGGAGGCTGCAGGGAAAGCCATGCAAAGTTTACAGGTGAATTTCCCTCATTTCTCTTGTAAGAGTGATCCGTTTACGGGTGAATTTCCCCCATTTTTATTGTAAGGGTGATCAGTTTACGGGTGAATTTCTCCTTTTTCCCTGAAAAAAGTGCTCAATTTGTAGGTGAAATTCATACAGTTCTATGGTGTTAAAAAATGAGTTTACAGGTGAATATCCACATTTCTCTGGTGAAGTTGATCAGTTTTCCTGTGCATATATGTAAAAGTTTAGGAAAATTGGTGAAACCTTTTATGTATGGAAGTGGTACTTTCTCATGCAAACTCATATTTTATACAAAGTCTAATTGAAAGTGATAAAAGTCCATCATGAACAACTCAGAAAAAATGTCTCACTTTTCAGTGTTAATGTTTAAAGAAGGTCTCTTCTCTAGAAACTTAATGTTAATTATTAATTTCAATTAATTTAGGGGGCAGAGTGTGGAGGCCAGAAGTTACTGATAAAGTTCCCTGACAACCCTATAGTAAATAGTGGTACACTTACCATACGGAAAACCCCTAGTACCAGTCGCCCACAGCAGAGACAGACCTTTGTAGGGTGAGTCATTACAGAGAGGGGATATATACTCAACCAAACAATAGGGTTATAGAGGCTTAAAGCGGGGAGGGGCATATAGACTCAACCAAACAATAGCTAGGGTTATACATGTGTATACTGTATTTTATTCTAGAGAGGTATATGTTAGCTTTTGATTCAAAACCCAAATCAAATACATGTATATTATTTGATATATTTAATTTTTTCTCAGCTCTTTATGCATGCATACACATTCAGAAAACAGTTAAATGTTGGCATCTCAAAAATTGATGCCTTGAATACCATCAATATGTTAAAAGTAATTCTTCCAACTTGCTTCGTGGTATTCATTACATTGAGGTTTGATATACAAATGTTTATCTTTGTATCAAATATAAGGCTCATTGTTCTAGTCCTGAGGAATTTAGATGTAGATTTTAAGTGTGTCCATATCACTTTGTTGTCACAGTACATGGATAGTATATATAATCCTGCTGAAACACTGCCCTCCTACTATTTCCCTGTGTAAAACCAGGACGTGCATGATTTCGTAGCCAGATCATTTTGCATCATTTAATTCAATTAGTTGTGGTGGAAGTTTATCGAATTTAAGAGATTAAATATGGTAATATTTATAAAAATGACATAATTTAAAGTCATTTGAATAAATTGTGTCTTTTATTATCCTTTCATTCAAAATCTGCATCATTGCTTTCTGATTGCAATAAATTATTAAAGGTAATATGTAGAGATTAGGGTTGGGTTAGGGGTCAAAAGGATTTTCACATGCACACGTCCAGGAATTGAATTGACAACTTTGAAGAGTGCAAAAACAGGAAATTCCTAATCAAAGCTGAATTTCATTAGATTTTAATGCTTTATTTCAAAGGAAAAGTTTGATTGCATCATAAGCAATAAATGTTTATGATTCTTACATAGTCACTGTCATCCTCAGTCAAGACAGGGTTGTCATTACCTTGTCAACTTGTTATTCTTTCCAGTGACTTCAAAATATAGGAATCATTTTGCTTTATATGGTTTTCTATAATACTTCATTTTACATGTATCTGGGCTTGGAGATTCCATAAGTTGTTAAGACTTTAATTCAGAAAGTATTGATTTGTCATCATCATGCAGTCTCCATCAGGAGCTACTCACAGCTGAATAGTAAAGAATACAAAATCTCAGTCCAATACTGTGGAATCATCATTGTTCGTGGGGGACCAATGTTCGTGGGTAACCCTGACCCACGAATTTACATCCCCACGAACGTATATACAAACATATTTTTATTATTTGTTAAAAGTTGCGATTACACAGACTATTTTATATCGTAAAATAACCGTTTCCCTTGTGTACGTGTGATCGCACATAAAGAAGACAATTTGTATTTGGTTATTGACACAAAACCAAAATTTAAAAAAAAAATATTATAAGTATCAAAGGCATCGATAACCACAATCTATTTAAAATTAAATGTTAGATCCGCTCGCATACTAGCTACACTATCTACATTATAGTCCATCACGCTCAAATGACCCTTTGATGAGGTCAATTTTCAGTGTGATTTTGAAATGGGTGCTAATTAGCTTTATACTGTGACATCAAGGCTGTTCTTTGTTGGTGCAAGCCACCGGTATATATTTGTGTTCACAAGAGAGATAACTTAAATAAGCAACATTGACGGGGCTATCCTTCTTTATTTTTGATTCCACAGTATTATTTTACGATAAGATTTACTGTAAATTCACATATTTTCGCGGATTAAAATTTTTGTTGTTTGAGGAAAATATATTGGTTCATGGGGATTTGATTTCGTGGTTGAAGAATTGTTCATTAGTAATATATGAGAAAAATTGCATTTCGTGGTGGACATTCAAAACCATGAAAATTAAACCCCCACAAGAATTAGTGATTTCACAGTATTGTGACAATAGTGTGCCATAAAGAAGTAATCAAGAATGCAAAAAGAAAGCAAATTATGGAATTGATGACTTACTATTTACCTCAGTACTTTGAGATTCTGGAATTTGTGACTACCATTAGCAATAGGATCAAAGATTAAGGTAGTCATTGGCATGCTAAGGGTGATATGATAAAAAGGTCCAAACTTGCACATTTTTAAATCCCTTTTTTAAGAATCACTTCTAAGTTTATCTGAAGCAAAGGATCCAGGGAGCTTGTCTTGCATATGCTCTTATGTTAACTAGTACACATAAATTATATCTGTCAAAAACTTTTCATGCTCATTTTATTCTTTGCAATCATATCAAGGAAAGGCAATTTAATGAGAACTTACCACAAACAAAAGATGTTGGTTTTTTGATGTCACATGTCATTACAAACTATTTGATCCTGAAATAAATAAATTTGTATTCAACCTTCATTTATATTTTCATTTAGAACATCTCGGAAATTTCACATAAAATGGTAAGAAAGTCTTTTTGATCACTTCATTCTCAAGTTTTTTCCTAATCAATGTTCTTTTTTCTTATCGGTGTCATTGGAAGTGGCTTGTTGTCGAACATTGAAGAATTTTCATCGCTTTCATCCTACAAAGTTTGAAGTCAGGGGGATATTTACAGTGTCAAAATATTGAAAATGAGGATAAAGAAATTTTAGAACTGCAGCACACGAAGTAGCAATAGATCTAAGGTTCAACTAATGCTTTTTGTCTTGCAATCTACTATGGCTTTAGATGCATGTTATGTGGCTTATTTGCATTTGCCCAAGGAGCTGTGTAATGCCTGTCAATGGAACTTGTCATGTCTCCAGGCAAAATGTGGCTCTCATCATGCTTGGCTATTAAATGTTTAATTATTTCTTTCCTTAAATTTTTTGTGACGAATTGAATTTTTTTCTACTCAAAAACTTAGCGTATGTTAAAGTAATTGTAATTTTGATTAGAAACAATCCACTTCCATTTTTTTCATGAATCACTGGTAAATATCTAGGTCGGTGCATCTGCTTTCTTTAATTTGCTATCTACAGGGTGTAACAAAAATATATTCCCATTGTGCTTGTTAAAAAGATGAGCACCTTTTGAAAATTTAGATTTGACTTGAGTTTTAGTCTACAAGGGAATGACACAGGTATATCTGCTATGGAGATAAGCATCATGTCTCGGTTTAATTTATTGTAATGTGAACCTAAATATGACGTATGGGTACAAAATGTTTCAGAAGTATGTAAATAATCTGATGAAGAATGATGAAGAGAATAATTCTTTAGCAATACATATATTTGTATGAGTGATGGTATCATAATTTCATTGCAATGTTTGTCTGTGTACAGTTGATTCAATGATTGTCAGGGACTTCTACAAACAGTGCATATGTAAATCTAACACAGATTTTGTTATCGTACATATAAAACATGTTTTCAAAATAAATAAATGAATAAAATTTGCTATTACATTAAAAGAAAAAAATGATAACTTAGGAAAATGGTTTATATTTTGTATACTTTTTATAGAATATTTATCAGTATGCATATATTTATTCAATGTGCATGTTTATTGTCTTTTTTTTTTAATTACAAGAAATGGGTGCTAATTAGCTTTATACTGTGACATCAAGGCTGTTCTTTGTTGGTGCAAGCCACCGGTATATATTTGTGTTCACAAGAGAGATAACTTAAATAAGCAACATTGACGGGGCTATCCTTCTTTATTTTTGATTCCACAGTATTATTTTACGATAAGATTTACTGTAAATTCACATATTTTCGCGGATTAAAATTTTTGTTGTTTGAGGAAAATATATTGGTTCATGGGGATTTGATTTCGTGGTTGAAGAATTGTTCATTAGTAATATATGAGAAAAATTGCATTTCGTGGTGGACATTCAAAACCATGAAAATTAAACCCCCACAAGAATTAGTGATTTCACAGTATTGTGACAATAGTGTGCCATAAAGAAGTAATCAAGAATGCAAAAAGAAAGCAAATTATGGAATTGATGACTTACTATTTACCTCAGTACTTTGAGATTCTGGAATTTGTGACTACCATTAGCAATAGGATCAAAGATTAAGGTAGTCATTGGCATGCTAAGGGTGATATGATAAAAAGGTCCAAACTTGCACATTTTTAAATCCCTTTTTTAAGAATCACTTCTAAGTTTATCTGAAGCAAAGGATCCAGGGAGCTTGTCTTGCATATGCTCTTATGTTAACTAGTACACATAAATTATATCTGTCAAAAACTTTTCATGCTCATTTTATTCTTTGCAATCATATCAAGGAAAGGCAATTTAATGAGAACTTACCACAAACAAAAGATGTTGGTTTTTTGATGTCACATGTCATTACAAACTATTTGATCCTGAAATAAATAAATTTGTATTCAACCTTCATTTATATTTTCATTTAGAACATCTCGGAAATTTCACATAAAATGGTAAGAAAGTCTTTTTGATCACTTCATTCTCAAGTTTTTTCCTAATCAATGTTCTTTTTTCTTATCGGTGTCATTGGAAGTGGCTTGTTGTCGAACATTGAAGAATTTTCATCGCTTTCATCCTACAAAGTTTGAAGTCAGGGGGATATTTACAGTGTCAAAATATTGAAAATGAGGATAAAGAAATTTTAGAACTGCAGCACACGAAGTAGCAATAGATCTAAGGTTCAACTAATGCTTTTTGTCTTGCAATCTACTATGGCTTTAGATGCATGTTATGTGGCTTATTTGCATTTGCCCAAGGAGCTGTGTAATGCCTGTCAATGGAACTTGTCATGTCTCCAGGCACAATGTGGCTCTCATCATGCTTGGCTATTTAATGTTTAATTATTTCTTTCCTTAAATTATTTGTAAGGAATTGAATTTTTTTTTACTCAAAAACTCAGCGTATGTTAAAGTAATTGTAATTTTGATTAGAAACAATCCACTTCCATTTTTTTCATGAATCACTGGTAAATATCTAGGACGGTGCATCTGCTTTCTTTAATTTGCTATCTACAGGGGGTAACAAAAATATATTCCCATTGTGCTTGTTAAAACAATGACCACCTTTTGATAATTAAGATTTTACTTGAGTTTTTAGTCTGCAAGGGGACAACACAGGTATATCTGCTATGGAGATAAGCATCATGTCTCGGTTTAATTTATTGTAATGTGAGCCTAAATATGACGTATGAGTACAAAATGTTTCAGAAGTAAATGTGAATAATCTGATGAAGAATGATGAAGAGTTTAATTCTTTAGCATTACATGTATTTGTATAAATCTGAGTGTTGGTATCATAATTTCATTGCAATGTTTGTCTGTGTACAGTTGATTCAATGATTGTCAGAGGACTTCTACAAACAGTGCATATGAAAATCTAACACAGATTTGATATCATACATATAAAACATATTTTAAAAAAAATTAATAAATAAATAAAATTTGCTATCACAGTAAAAGATTAAAAATGATAACTTAGGGGAAATGGTTTATATTTTGTATAATTTTTATACAGCATTTATCAGTATACATATATTTATTCAATGTGCATGTTTATTGTCTTTTTTTTTTAATTACAAGAAATGGGTGCTAATTAGCTTTATACTGTGACATCAAGGCTGTTCTTTGTTGGTGCAAGCCACCGGTATATATTTGTGTTCACAAGAGAGATAACTTAAATAAGCAACATTGACGGGGCTATCCTTCTTTATTTTTGATTCCACAGTATTATTTTACGATAAGATTTACTGTAAATTCACATATTTTCGCGGATTAAAATTTTTGTTGTTTGAGGAAAATATATTGGTTCATGGGGATTTGATTTCGTGGTTGAAGAATTGTTCATTAGTAATATATGAGAAAAATTGCATTTCGTGGTGGACATTCAAAACCATGAAAATTAAACCCCCACAAGAATTAGTGATTTCACAGTATTGTGACAATAGTGTGCCATAAAGAAGTAATCAAGAATGCAAAAAGAAAGCAAATTATGGAATTGATGACTTACTATTTACCTCAGTACTTTGAGATTCTGGAATTTGTGACTACCATTAGCAATAGGATCAAAGATTAAGGTAGTCATTGGCATGCTAAGGGTGATATGATAAAAAGGTCCAAACTTGCACATTTTTAAATCCCTTTTTTAAGAATCACTTCTAAGTTTATCTGAAGCAAAGGATCCAGGGAGCTTGTCTTGCATATGCTCTTATGTTAACTAGTACACATAAATTATATCTGTCAAAAACTTTTCATGCTCATTTTATTCTTTGCAATCATATCAAGGAAAGGCAATTTAATGAGAACTTACCACAAACAAAAGATGTTGGTTTTTTGATGTCACATGTCATTACAAACTATTTGATCCTGAAATAAATAAATTTGTATTCAACCTTCATTTATATTTTCATTTAGAACATCTCGGAAATTTCACATAAAATGGTAAGAAAGTCTTTTTGATCACTTCATTCTCAAGTTTTTTCCTAATCAATGTTCTTTTTTCTTATCGGTGTCATTGGAAGTGGCTTGTTGTCGAACATTGAAGAATTTTCATCGCTTTCATCCTACAAAGTTTGAAGTCAGGGGGATATTTACAGTGTCAAAATATTGAAAATGAGGATAAAGAAATTTTAGAACTGCAGCACACGAAGTAGCAATAGATCTAAGGTTCAACTAATGCTTTTTGTCTTGCAATCTACTATGGCTTTAGATGCATGTTATGTGGCTTATTTGCATTTGCCCAAGGAGCTGTGTAATGCCTGTCAATGGAACTTGTCATGTCTCCAGGCAAAATGTGGCTCTCATCATGCTTGGCTATTAAATGTTTAATTATTTCTTTCCTTAAATTTTTTGTGACGAATTGAATTTTTTTCTACTCAAAAACTTAGCGTATGTTAAAGTAATTGTAATTTTGATTAGAAACAATCCACTTCCATTTTTTTCATGAATCACTGGTAAATATCTAGGACGGTGCATCTGCTTTCTTTAATTTGCTATCTACAGGGGGTAACAAAAATATATTCCCATTGTGCTTGTTAAAACAATGACCACCTTTTGATAATTAAGATTTTACTTGAGTTTTTAGTCTGCAAGGGGACAACACAGGTATATCTGCTATGGAGATAAGCATCATGTCTCGGTTTAATTTATTGTAATGTGAGCCTAAATATGACGTATGAGTACAAAATGTTTCAGAAGTAAATGTGAATAATCTGATGAAGAATGATGAAGAGTTTAATTCTTTAGCATTACATGTATTTGTATAAATCTGAGTGTTGGTATCATAATTTCATTGCAATGTTTGTCTGTGTACAGTTGATTCAATGATTGTCAGAGGACTTCTACAAACAGTGCATATGAAAATCTAACACAGATTTGATATCATACATATAAAACATATTTTAAAAAAAATTAATAAATAAATAAAATTTGCTATCACAGTAAAAGATTAAAAATGATAACTTAGGGGAAATGGTTTATATTTTGTATAATTTTTATACAGCATTTATCAGTATACATATATTTATTCAATGTGCATGTTTATTGTCTTTTTTTTTTAATTACAAGAAATCTTCTTTCTTTGTGGTAAAACGACTTTGTCCAAAAATGTTGTGTTTGTCATTGTAAAATTTAAAGATTTCTTTTCATCATTTTGATCTTTTATCAGCCATAACTTTAAATCAGTGTGCCTGACATGAATTTCAAATTCAAAATTCTAAGAAAGATAACCCTCGGTACGACTGAAGAGGTACAAAGGGGGGTAATGAATGCACAGATTCATTTATTAGACAATATAGATGGATCATGTGACACACAAGTATGAAATAAAGCTTGTAAGAAAAGTGACCATTGTAAAATTAACCATCATTGTAGCAATATTGTATCATAAAACCTTTGTTCAACAGTTGTCAAAGAAAAAGGAACCAATAGGCCCTAGAATCGAAGGCAGGTTACAGGAAGGTTTCTGTTGACTTTCTTTGAATGAATTGTGTTGAGGTTTTTCAAGAAACTAGAAAGTGTACAATTGATTCATAGGTTTTCCAAATAAGTTTGTAAATTATTTTCTTTGTCAGTATTTATACTTTGTCGTGAAAGACATCTGTTAAAATATTAACTGAAAAGAAGTACCGGTACCTGAATGAATATACAAAAAGGAATTCTTCAGTACTTGCCCTTGGACAGGTTACCATTGTAAAATTACTTGTCCTACCAAAAAAATTTATGAAAAACAGGAGCACTGCTAAAGTTCATTATATTTCATCTGTGGTTAAACAAAAAACATTTGATCGTATGATTTTTGTACACTGGGAAAAGGACTTGTTCAGAGATAGGTACCACTTATCAGATAATTTTCCCGCCAATCAAAATAGGTTGTTCTGGGCGTCGGGCCATGCTATTTGTCTAGCCCTGTGTAGAGAGTGTTCTCTCTATATTTCCAGAAAAGCGGTTGCTGCCCAATATCAGAACTCTACAGCAGTGAACATTACAGCAGTGGACCAGAAGAACACCACGTGGCCTGTGAACGGGTACAAATGTTATTTCTGGAGAACCACTGGGTGTTCCTTCGGGGACAAATGTCGCAATAAACACTTATCCTCCAGCAAAGGAGTGGACAAAAAACCATGGCAGAAAACGTAGCAAAACTAGCGTCAAGTTCTAAATACAATTTACAATACCAGGTTGTCTTTCTCTAGGTGCTTAGTAGGTTACGATAAATTTTTGGGAGATTTTTTTTATAGAAAGGTCAAGATAAATTCATAGTATACATGTACTTGCTACCAGTATGTGTTTTTAAATGTTTTAGATAAACATGCATAATGGAAGACATGTAAATAAGTTCAGGGACTTTTTAAAATTGTTTTATATCAAAATTACTAGAACAACAACAGCAAATTTCTTGATATTCAAGAAGTCAAAATTGAATCATTCTTCTTGCAGTTGAGACAGTAGATCTATACCATTTTGGTACACAGCACTAAGTTCACCTATACACAATGAAAGAAATCTCCATTGCAACTTAAATTGAAATCTGAAAAATTATTTTTCTGAGATCTGAAAAAGCATTTTATTTTGGGTTTCCTGGAATTGTTATTGTTTGTATTATTTTGTTCCTGAACCACAGGAACACATTAGTACTGTATACTAAGACAAGGTAATGTATACAAAATATTTTATTGGCAAAGTTTGTATTGAAAACAGGACAAAGGTTCTCTCAATAACTAGTCACATGTTTATAGCAATATTTAGTATTACACATGTATTTGTAAACTAGAGTTATCCTAGATTTGTCCTCTCCTGGCTTGAGGTCAGGCAGCATTAAGAAACTGGTCAATCTTGTTTTCTATGATATTGTTGACTTTTTTTGTATGAAGGGCATTATGCAGCCAAAAACATGACTTTGTTTAATGTTTCTGAACACCCAGTATTGCTTCAATATTTGCATGGTACAAAGTTTTTTATATGATGTAGTTAGTAGCAGTATTTTAAAAAAATCTTTTAAGGAGTTAATATACAGGCATTGTACCTGTTTTTTTTTCCTGCTGTATTTTTTTTTCTCAAGAAAATGTAGATTTTCAAAGGACTGGTTATTGAATGTTTTTTGGGGTGGGGAGCTTGGGAAAAAAAACCGATTGAATGGAAATGTGTCCTCATTTAGATATTGCCTGATGATGATTTTATTAACGGTACGTTATGTGATTTGGCTTCTATTTTAGGTCGCAATCTCCGATTTCTATTTTTCGTAACTGTAGAATAGCATTGTTCATATAATGTCTCTAAATAACGATGGTGATGTTGACATTCAGTGATACAAGTGTACAGATATGCTTCCTTCTTACAAATGTTTAAATGTGATAAATTCTGTTACCTGAAAATGAATGAGCTCCACGTTTTGTGTATTCCGTTTATCCACGGAGGAAAATTATCTCAGAATTATTTTAATATGCATTTATGCTTTTCATAGAACTTTTTAACTTACTTTATGAACATACCTCTTTCTTTTCAAGAATGTGCATTTATTTACTTAGTTCATTCTGTAAATTAGAGTGTGAAAATATCTATGCTTGCAATTCAAAAACAGAAATAGCTTGCTACGCTTATAAAACTACAGATCTGTTTAAAGTTATAAATTTAATTACTGTTTCAGCTTGAATTAAAAAATTTAATATGAGGACATAATCTCATAGTGATATTTACAGACTGTCACAAATTGTATTCCGTTATGTGTAAACATGCACAAAGGGTATAAAATGATTAACTGTATTTACTTGTTGTTGAATTTGAAATGAAACTTTAATTCATCAGAACTATATCTTTAAACAATCAAGATTTTGATAACTTCAATGATACATATCTCATTTTTTTTAGAACATACATTATCACTGCAACTAGCAAGTCACAGATTTCAAGACAGAAGTTTTGTAATTGTTCCAATTCAATTGACAAAAGAAATTTTGTTATATTTTGTAGATAAATGTATAACAATATGCTATTTTCAAAATTCTTTTTAAATTCTTTTCATTTTTGAAGTCAGATAATTGTATAAATCGTAACACAGTACAAATTTTTCTGATTTACTTTTGCTCTGTAGCATTAATAAATTAGAACTTTCTTTGGATGTATCAGTGACGTAGACTGGAACTTTGGTGAACTCTCATATATTACAGTCAAGTTTATATGTCACCAATTCCACTTTTCAGGCTGTATAATTGTAGCTCTCTGAGACTTAACACATACCATGATTGTCCAAAATTTTATGTCCCGGAGAGCGAAATTCTGCAGCTACTACTTTTCCAGTTTCATTCAGAGCAATGACCTTGAAATTGTTACATAATTAAATGCAAAAATTTTCATGTATTTTAATATATAAGAATTTTAGCAGGAAAGGTAGCACAAAATATTGGATATCAATTTATTATGCTTTTCAAAATTTTCAAAATAATTGTGAGACTTAGCCAAAATTTCCTTAAAATATGTGACATGTAATAAAGTGTTGGAACTTTGTTGATACTTGTTTTTAGTTGTACAAAGGTGCAGGTGGTTTTATGAGAGATGTATGTGTAAAATTTTTATTTCTCAAAGTGGATATCTTCCACGAAATACTAAGTTTAAACTGGTAATGGAAACCATTTTTATTTTTAAAAATGTGTATCAAACTTTTATAAAGTAAAGTGAGAAAAATAAAATATGTTGATGAATATATGAAACATATTATTTTTGTTTGCTTAGTTGATGTAATGTTGCTCATTTAGACAATCACAAGAGCACAAGTGCTCCGGGAGTGTTAACTCACCTCAAATGTAATCAATTTTATGCTACCCATAAGAACATCCCTTAGCTTCGGTGTCCCAGTTAAAGTTTAAGTATTTTAAAAGTTTATTCCTCAGTAAGTGAATATTAGTCCATCCTGACCCAAACTAGCCTGGATGAAGTCTCTAGGGATGGACACTACCAGACGTGCTTTGGATTTTAGTTCTGACACATACATTTTCGAGATAAGTGTTTTTTGAGAATAGCTCTTTAATTATGTGAATAGTTCTGATTAAACCTTTGTGGATGATGCAAATAGGGATGGACGCTACTTGTGCTTTGTATTGAGCCTAGAATTTCGATACGATATGATACAATACAATATTTAATTTAAAGCGATATACGATATATTGGATTCTAAAACAAGTCCATCAGAAAAGGCTTCTTAATCACTTTTATGCATAAATTTCATAACAAAAGGGTTTTATTACCCCTTTTAAAGTTCTTGTCTCATTTTCTATACAAATAACACTTCAAATTAAAACTTTTGACGACGTTAAAATCAACATGTTCAAATAAATTTCTCTTTGTATTTTGTAATAGTATAAAAAATGTGTGATTTCCTTACAAATTATATAATTATTGAACAGTTTTAGTTAAAAAACGTGAAATATAATCTTTGGTGATTGTAATTCCCATCTTTTAAACAGAATTAGAAAAAAAACTGTCTGTCCGATACGTATTGGAAGTTATTTTTAGATACGATATTATTATTGAATATCGATGTATTGATGTAGCCTTAGACGCTACCGGGCTTGCTGTAGATGTAGGAACCAACCTACATTTTTATACCCGCACTTTCTAAAGAAAGTTCGGGTATATTGTTGTTACTCATGTCCGTCCGTCCGTCCGTCCGTCCGTCCGTCTGTCACACTTTTCTTCCCTAAACTCCTCTTACAATTTACACAGTAGGCTAATCATCTTTTGGGAGATGGTTGGTGGTGTCATGTAGATGTGCAGTAAGGTTTCGGAATTTTGATTTTGCCTTGGGGGGTCAAATGGGGGTCGAAAAATGACGTTTTTTATGCAAAAAGCCTCGTCTTCCCTGAACTCCTCTTACATTTTACAGAGTAGGCTAATCATCTTTTGGGAGATGGTTGGTGGTGTCATGTAGATGTGCAGTAAGGTTTTGGAATTTTGATTTTGCCCCGGGGGGTCAAATGGGGGTCGAAAAATGACGTTTTTTATGCAAAAAGCCCCGTCTTCCCTGAACTCCTCTTACATTTTACACAGTAGGCTAATCATCTTTTGGGAGATGGTTGGTGATGTCATGTAGATGTGCAGTAAGGTTTTGGAATTTTGATTTTGCCCCGGGGGGTCAAATGGGGGTCGAAAAATGATGTTTTTTATGCAAAAAGCCCCGTCTTCCCTGAACTCCTCTTTCTTTTTACAGAGTTGTCTAATCATCTTTTGGGAGATGGTTGGTGGTGTCATGTAAATGTGCAGTAAGGTTTTGGAATTTTGATTTTGCCCCGGGGGGTCAAATGGGGGTCGAAAAATGATGTTTTTTATGCAAAAAGCCCTGTCTTCCCTGAACTCCTCTTACATTTTACACAGTAGGCTAATCATCTTTTGGGAGATGGTTGGTGGTTTCATGTAGATGTGCAGTAAGGTTTCGGAATTTTGATTTTGCCCCGGGGGGTCATATAGGGGTAAAAAAAATGACGTTTTTATGCAAAAAGCCCCGTCTTCCCTGAAATTCTCTTACATTTTACACAGTAGCCTAATCATCTTTAGGGAGATGGTTGGTAGTGTCATGTAGATGTGCAGCAAGGTTTTGGAATTTTGATATTGCCCTGGGAGGTCAAATAGGGGTGGAAAATTACATTTTTTGTGCAAAAAGTCCTGTCTTTCCTGAAGTCCTCCTTAATGTTACTCAGAAGCCTAATCATCTTTTAGGAGAGTTAAATATCTTGAAAATTATGTAAAACATTAACGTTAAAGAGTAAAAAAACATTGCAAGCTGGGAAACATCTTGAATTTTTATGAGTAATTAATGTACAAATGTCAAATGTGAGAGTCATATCTCATCTCAATCAAAAGTTATAAGCAAATGCAACATTTTTGAAAAGTAGGTTAGGCTTCAAGGTCAAGGTCACAGAGTAAAAGTCATGATTCATTTGGAAAGATCTTATCACAGGTAATAATATACATGCATTATAATATGAATACCCTAACTTTTCTCTTTCAAAATGATAAATTTATAACAATTTAATTTTTTTGCAAGTAGGTCAAACTTCTAGGTCATATGTAAAAAAAAAAAAAACCATGCCATTCTCACAGGTAAATACTAGTACATAAGTTTAATATGAATGCCTTGTCTCTTCTCATTCAGTAGATATGACCGTGATAACCAAGGTTAATTTTATTCAGACAGAAGAACAGCCTGACATACAAATGTACATATTTCTATGTGA